CCAAAGGGGGGTTCCATGGAACCCATGGAACCCCCCTAGGATTCGCCACTGATAACATTAACAGATAATAGAGAGGCACTAATAATTATAGTGTAGCTTTTGATTGACATACTTTATCAGTTTTTGGTATCTTTTTCTAAAAGTTCTCTTACAGTGGCCTATGAGCACAACTGAGGGTGACCAGGCTTTAGCAACCTTTTAATGAAATATAATATCATTATTATTATTATTATTACTTCTGTATTGTTATCATTAGTGTACTTTGAAGACCATGTGCAGGAGCATGTTCAGTCCAGCTTTTCCCTGGAATTTACCTGCCACATTAGAGGGCCTGAGGTTGAACAGGTTGGTCCCAGTCTCAATGCATATAGTGTGTAATAGACTCTTCTTCCCAGTCCCTCTGGGGCCAGTTATTTATTTATTTATTTATTATGAACTTAACAGTATAAGACAAATATAAACAGAGACGAGAGAAAAAGGACAGTGGGTACTGAAGGACAGCAACAACATGTGTTGCAGCCAGAAAAGAATAATAATAATATATAAAATAAATAAGTGAATTAAGAGTTTGCATGAAAAAAAAAGTGATTATTGGAGATGACAGGACGAACAGGGACAAATGTAGTGGAATGTGCAAGGAGAATCAGGTGAAAAATGTAGTAAAAAGTGATTCCAGAAGTGAGCATACAGCCGCCTCTTGATGGTGCCATAGGTAAGAGTGAGATCTAGGCAGTGAGAGGGGATAGTGTTCCATAGCCTCACAACATAGGTTGAAGTAGAAGTGGCGTGTGGTGGAAGTTCTCTGGAAGTTTACCTTCAATTTGCCAGCGGAGGTTGTTCTTGTGCCATGGGTAGAAAAGGAGACATATTGAAGAATGTCGAAATTGTCAGGAGGACTCAGCAGATACTTGACAATAAACAATACATCCCTCAAATCATGGTGGTACATTAGAGGTAGTAATTGAAGGTCAATGAGACGATCTCTGTAGTTGAGGGGATGTGGTGAGGATACCAAGAAGCGCGTCATACGCCTTTGGATTGTCTCTATACGGGTAATGTCCTTAAGGCAGCGGGGACTCCAGAGCTGGCTGCAATACAGCAGCTTTGACCTAACAAGTGAGATGTATAGGGACTTGAGAACGTCAGAGTGAGAAGAGTAGACATTCCTTCTGATGAAGTAGAGAACCTTGTAAGCAGATGAGCATACTTTGGAAATGTGTTGGGACCATGATAAGTCTGCAGAGACTATAATACCCAGATCTCGATGA